TCACTTGCTGGGCCTGCGCTCTGGGTGTCTCTGTCTCCTTGAGACAGGGTTTCACTACGTGGTCCAGGTTAGCCTCGAACTCACTAAGTAGACCAGGTTGGCCCTGAACTTGGGGTGATGGTCCAGCCTCAGCCTCCTGAATGCTGGGATTCCAGTATGCTCTTCTGTTTGGCTTATTTTTTTATTTGAAACGAGTGCCCCTTACACTGGGATTTTCACTTTCACGTACCTTGCCGGGTCTGGGTTGTTTAGGCTGGGTTTAACCTTCTGATCCTCCTGCTTCTGGCTTGCAGAATTCTGGGATGACAGGTGCGCATCACTGTGCTTGGCTAATAGCATCAGAGCCTTGATAAGTCAGTCGGCGTTTTAGAAAGATTATCAGTGCACACAAAGATGTGACAGACATCTGCACATTTGGTTCTTAGTGGAGCTGGGGACCAATCCCAGAGCCTTGCACATGCTAGACAAGTACTGTATCCTACCAGCCGTTGCTGTCTTCAGATCGTGAATGTTTGAAACTTCCAGTCTTCTGCACAATGAGGAACTCTGGGAATTCACCTTAGTAGTAAAAATTCTTCAGCTATCACTCGTTTTTGCCACGGAAGTCTATGGTGTGCTGCCCCACAGCACCACAGCAGGTGGGGCTGGCTGATGAGTACAAAAGACAGGCTCAGTCTCCAGAGGCTGAGTAGTCCAGGACCTCGGGCAGGGTCCTCTGAGGACAGTCTTGCTGTGTCAGCCCCTGGCAGAAGGGCAAAGGCAGGGCAGAAAGAGGTGCCAGGGAGCCAGAGAGAGAGAAGGGCTGAGCCAGGCCTTTCATTGTTCCTAAGGCCTCTGGCTGGCCGGGGCCTGACCACCTCTCACCAGCTTCTGCTTCTAACACACAGGAGGCCCAGTTCCCAACACATTTTTGGAGGTCCCATTCACACCTTGGTGCCTCTAAGACTGGGATTTTCACTTTCTTTTACCCCAGGCTCTTCTCCCTTGTCACATGCTTGTAGGCTTCTGCCTGGGATGTCTGCTGGAGGCAGGTGACTTTAGCTCCTATTATTTTTGAGTCTCTCATCAGTCACTTAATTCAGTCTTTTATATTTATTGGCCCCAATTAGTTTTCAGTCCATGGACTCCTGGGCAATCTAAGGATGAATGCTACTGTATCATTTTATCTCAGAGCTATTTCCTATTTTCCTTGGCGCGACCTGTGCATGAGTAACCTGACTTGGCAAAATACCTTAAACTCCAAACCTCAAGCATAATTAAGTATGCTGTTCTCATCAGAGGATCACTGCTAGACCTACATAGAATGGTATCCATTCAAAAGCAGAGCAATCTTCATAGTTCTACTGCCTTTGTTAAAAGCTAGAGTCATTCTTTAAATTTGAATACACAAATGTCCAGTGCATGGGTATATATTTTTAATAAAGTTGCCAATGGGCAGTGACTTCCCAGTGCAGATGACATTAATTAGGCCCTGCTGCAGCACCCTCTCTTGAGGAGAGGCTCAGGTACTCCTCTCTCGAACTTCCACCTCCTGCTCCTCCTGCTCCACTGAACTTGAGGGAAAGGTCACACATAACTTTCTCAGGCCCTTAGCATTCTCTACAAACAACTGTATTTGCTTAAGTGTTCTCCCTGCCAAAACTTGTCTTTTCTCTTCCTACATCTGGATTCTTTTTCCTAAGTAGAAAATCATGTGTTGCAATCACTACCTCTCCCAATGCCTGTGGGCTAATAATCTAAATTCTCATGTGAGACTGCAGTTCACTGGTGACTTGCCACTTGCCCAGGTCAGAAGCCCCTTTCCACCTGTGAGGATGTGAAGACCCTGAGCACAGTGCCACCATGGAACAAGCGCCCTGCTCTTTGCATGGCTCCACATCGCACCACTATGATTCTTCCACTGTTCTGGCTGCCTCCTTTGATCTTTTCTGCCAGTGTCTCACCCTCCTGGCATTTCTCTAGGTCCTTTGTTGGATGCCCTTTTTGGTTCTCCTCAGCAATTTCATGTCTGGAGGAAAGGCTCCCAAACTGAAAAGAGCTACTGATTGCCCCATTTCCAAGGGACTTCACCACATTTCATCAGGAACTCAAAACTTCTTATGCTCAGAGCAGCTTCATTTTATCCCTACCCAACGGCCTGCAATCATTTTGCACCTTCTATATCCCTTAAGATTTTACTATGCCTTTTCCTTACCTTCCAGTCAGAAAACCTTAGTAAGGTCTTTGAACTGCTGTTGTCTGCCCTTTTCTACCAAAACTTTTCAATCCCATTCACCGATGCCAAATTAATCTTTTTAAAATTTATCTTCGTGTTTATCATGTACATACTCAAATGGTTCCAGGATAGAGGTTGCAATCCTTCTTGGTTTTGCTTGTTTTTTTGAGTCAGTCTATGTGCACTATATAGCCCAGGCCTCAAACTTGGTGACATTTCTACTTTAACTTCCCAGTACTGGGATTAGAGGCATGTGCTACGAGGCGCAGTGCCAATCACATCTTGACCTGACTCCAACCTACCTTTTTATCTCCCTTACCCCTAGGATACCGCTGGAAACCCCACTCAGTTTTCTTAACCTGCTTGCTTCACTGCCTTCTCTCATCTGTTTGCCTTGCTGAAACATCTGCTCTCAAAATCACTTGTTTCCCTTTCCTGTAATCTCAGTGTTCAATATCACTCTGAACTTCTTCCCAGCAGCCTTTCTCACTTAGCAATTAATTTCTCTATTCGGCTCCTTGGAACGTTTGATCTGTTCATCTATCAGCAACTGAGCTGCATCACGGCCCTGCTCTTGAGGTAGACAGAGGGTGCGGAAGAATTAAGTTTCAATTCGGGATCTAGGTCTCCAAGACCTAGTTCATTTGTGCTCGGGAGGGCTGAGTCTGGTTGCAAGGGCTGAGATTAAAATATATGAAAACTCCTAGGTCATCTTAGACCCCCTCGAAAAAGCTCAAACGACCGCGAACGCGAGGCGAGTGGGATTGGCTTTGCGTCAGGGTGATCTCCACTCCAGCAATGACTGGTCCTGCACCGCCGAGCACCGCTCTCTGCACCACCCCCGTTTAAAGCAAAGACCTGAAAGCCACGTCCTCTAGCAGGAACGTTCCCACCGCACCGGCGCCGAGGTCCGCGCGCCGAGGCCGTCCTCATAGGCCGCAGCCCAGCGCCCACCAGAGGTCCCAGCCCTGAGCCAGGTTACACCACGGAGAGGCCCTTGCGAAAGATCACGCCGCGCCGCAGGGCCACACGCCGCGCTCGGTCCCTCCCACCCCCTCCGGGAGAGCGCGGGAAGCGGCAGACCAGGATGCCGCACCTGCGCCGGGGTCGCCCTGCCCTCTAGCCATCTGCGGAGGCCTTCTTCCTCTTCCGCACCCGTCTCCCGGGCGACGCAGGCCCCGCCCCCCGCCCCGCGCGGCGCCCCCTGTGACGTCGCCGTGCCCCGCCCCTTACCATAAAGACTGGCGTCGCTGGCACCGCCCTCCCACACTCTGGCTAGTTCGTAGGCTGCCTGGTTTTCTTTTTCTGTCGCCGCAGCTCTGCCTCTCTTCTCTTCTCGCGCTGCCCCTCTGCAGTGTGACAAGGCCGAGTCCTCTCCAGCCCGCGCCTCCCACTTTCGTACCTGCGCCGCCCCATTTCTCTCCGGCCGCCGCCGCCACTGCCGCTCAGCTGGTGTCGGTGCCGCGCTTTCCCCACGCCGTCCCCGCAGCCTATGGCCCAGGCCGCCTTGGGTATTTCTGCTCAAGGTAACCACATCCCTCTTTAAAAATTCCGCCGAAAAAGAGAAGACGCTTTACCCGACTCTTTGGGCCGTTATCTCACGTGAGTACCGGGCCGGGGGGGCGCGGGCGGCGGGGGTCCCCACGGCGGGGCCCTGAATATGGCGGACGCGGCGTGGGGGGCGGCGGGAGGCGCGGGTGGGGGCCGGGGGCTCCCGCAACCCCCCCTGCCCCTCCCGTGGTGCACTGCTACTTCCGGGAGGGGCCCGGGTCCGGCCGGCGCGCCGGCGCCGCCCCGAGGGTTCCGGAGCAGGGCGTTGAATGGAGCGGGGCGGAGGCGCAGACCGCTGCTGACAGCGGCGCGGGGTGCGGGCGCGCGGAGACGGCACGGCCCCACTGCCTGGGGAGCCGGTGTCCGGCGGCGAGCGGGAAGGCCCGCAGGCCATTTTGGAGGCCCCAGGCTACCGCCCCGCCCTGCGGGGCTCCGGATTGGGCCAGGTCGCCTTCGCTCACCCGGTCACCTCCCTGGCCCGAGGTTACTCGCCGCGGCTGCGTGTTCCCTACGCTGCGGGCCCGGGGCCGAGGGAGAAGGAGCGAAGGGTTGATCAGACGCCGGCCGTGAGCCCTGGGGAGCCGGGGACCTAAGCGCATGGCCCCCACGATGTCCCTGCAGGTCGTGCTCCGCTTTGTGATGGCATCGCCGCTGCAGATGTTCAGTTCTGTGTCCCGTTGTTTCCGCCATTGAGCCCCCAGCTCGGGCAAGTCGGAAGGCTCATTCTTAACCGAGCTCTTCTTTCCTGCGTGCCAGGACCAAGCCTGGCAGAATATGGCTGATGGCTGCCTGGCGAGGCCCTCGTGATCCCACATTTCTTACTCGTGCGACAGCGTGTAGTTGCTGGTTCTTGAAGACCAGTGACCCTTGAGTTAGATCGGTGCCGAGATACTTGTGAATGAAATCACGTAATCAATGTCTTCGTGATTTTTATCGTAAAATATTTAAAATACAGAAAGGTGAAAGTAGTAGCTTCACGGGGATACCAGTTAACCTATTGCTGTATCTGCCTTGTCATCCATTCTCTTTTTGTTCTGTGTTGTAACTGTAAGTTGGATACCCCAGAAGGCCTCACTCCTCCAGCGTTAGTATGCACATATTAAATAGGACTTTGTACAGTTCCGTTTTGTAACTTTCATGGAGTAAAATTCACATAAAAATAAAATCCACAAATGTTGTGTCGTGACAAAAATATATATAATCCAAATCTCCATCGCTATATAGAATAGTGCTGTTGCTACAAAAAGTTCCCTTTCAGTCCTAATTTCTACAGAGGCAACCATGAGTCTGATTTTTTTTTTAAAGATTAGTTTTTTCCAATCTAGCGTTCTTACATAAATGAAATTAGTGTACATCATTTGGTGTAAGTCTTTGGTTTGACATGTGTTTTATATTCATATTGCATTTATCCCCCCAAATGTTCCTGTTTATTGCTGAGTAGTACATTGTGTAAATACCTTGCTTAGTTTTTTGAAAGCAGATTTTATTTTAGAATAGTTCGATTTCTCAGAGAAGTTGCAAAGATGTAACAGTTCCCGCATCCAAAATCATCCAGTCTTCCTAACATTTAACTCAGGATATATTTGTCAAAAGTCAGAAATTAAGTTTTATATTACTGACCTCTAGGTTCTCTGGCTGTTGCAGTTTTTCTTTGTCATTTCTTGTTCCCAGAATCCAGTCCAAAGTATTACACTGCATTTAGTTGTCTTGGCTCCTGGTCTTTCTGCTGATAGTTTTCCAGCCATCTCTTGCTTTTGCTTTTGCTTTTCTTGTTTTGGTTTTTTAAGATAGGGGCTCTATAGCTTAGGCTAGCTTTGGACTCAATGTGTAGCCCCCAGGCTAGCATGGAACTTGCGCCTCAGCCTCTTGAGTGCTGGTATTACAGGAATGTACCACCACACCTGGCCATGTTTCCATTTTTATTTTTTGTCTGTCTGTTTTCTGACTATGGCTAGGGTTGAGTCCCAGACCTTGTAGCTATGTCTACATCCCCAGCCTTCTTCATGCTTTCCCTTAACTAGCCAGATAAGCATTCCATCTGTCTTCCATGCAAATAGCCATGTCATCTATGTACTCTTTTTAACATCCATTAAAATATTTTGTTGAGAGGGCTGGGGAGGTGGATCATAGCGCTTCTCTGGCAAGCGCAAGGGCCTGAGTTCAATCCCCAGTTCCACCCAAAAAAAGTGAAATATTTTGTTGAATGAAATTGCGTTTCACATTGCTGCTCTTGGGTTCCTTAAGTGACAAAATAGATAATATAGTAAAGAGGAATAGTGGCTCACCCAGATAATTATCCTGTTCCTTAGGGTAATTGAAAATGAAATCTCCAGCATGAGTAGGCTTTTTGGCTTTTGTTTTTGGTCTTTTTGAGACAGGGTCTCTCACTATGAAGCTCGAGCTGGGCTACACAGTGAGTTTGTCTAGCTTGAACTATATATTAAGACCCTACCTCAGAAAAGAAAAAATCTAGGTGCAGGAAAATTGGAATGTTTATGGAGTAGTACATAATTGGAGTCTAATGTAAAATTGTAATCATGACTACAAGTTGGTGTGGACTCTTTCCTTGATATCCATGAAGGGTGTCAGGGTCCGTAACTGTGACCATTTGGGGCCAGAGAGAAGCTCAGCGACATATGCTTGCCTGCCTGACCAGCACAAGGTCCTGAGTTCCCATCCCAGGCACCAAAAAATAAAAAAACAAAAACAAATAAAAAGAGTGACCAGTATAGCCAGGTGTGGTTGCATACCCTCCTGTAATCCCAGCACTCTGGAGGCTGAGGAGGATTGTTGGGAGTTCAGGGTCAACCTGAACTGCATAGTGAGACCCTGTGTCAAAAAGAAAAAAAGAGTGGTCAGTTTCCCCTGCTAGATATACCTACGGTTAGACATTTTACCTGCTACATGTGATCCCTCTGGAGGTGTGATAAGCTTTAGGTGTGCTTGTAGTGCTCCTCACACACTTCAGGCTCCTGGCCTTTCTTTCCATCTCTGGTTTCATATTTCTGGATTCCTTCTTACCCTCCCTTTTGTAGCAAATAAGGATCAAGTTGTACTATGTGAAAACAATGTAACCACTGTATGACAAATAGCAGTACAGGTGTAACATTTTAGCCTAGAGGGGATAAACCCATCCAGCCAAATTAGGAGTGGTGGCCAGTTCTAAAACTTGGAGCATTTGGTGTAGTGTGCTAAGCACTTTGACATTCATTTACTTATGGTGGCAGTAGAATTCAGTAGATCTAGATGGGTTATGCAACAGGAGATAAACTGGAAGAGGCTACCTGCGTAATGGTAAGGATTTTTCAGTAGTTATTTTCAGATACACAGCGTACAGATCTTAAAACTTTTACTGTTGTAGTAGGAATTTTCTCTTAAAGCAAAGAAGGATCTGAACTTGAGAAAAGTGTACTTTGGGTGTTGCAGATGGTATTACCTACAACTCTATTTAAAGCTTCATTGATATAGTAGCGTTTTGGAGGTTGATGGACTTAAAATTTTAACTTTTAGGCTACTTCCATTCAGATTTTAGGAGGCAAGAGCAAAAATTAAATGAGGTTAGAAACTCATGCGTAGGTAGATAAAGCAAGTGGTGTGGTGACCGTAGAGTGAGAATTATGGGTGCAGCAGCTTAGAAGGGCTTACTACATAAAAAAGAAACATGCTTGGAAAATTTTATCTAACATGACTTCAACTTTTTTCCTAACATGGAGCTATCTGCTACCTTTATTTCCTTGTCTAGGGCGATCTTTCTGACCGAGTGTACAACTACCCAGAGGGCCTAGGAGAAGTGCTGTATAGGGAGCAGTTCGACTTCAACGCCGAGCCCCCCTGGGAGCCTAGCTGATGATAGGGGGTTCCATCTCCTAACTCGTCCATGTGAGTATTTCCTTGAATGGAATTGAAGTCAGTGCCACTGCTAGATTGCTTCATGTTTTTCAGAACTCAGATTTACATTTGCTTTTTTAAAGCACATTGACCTTGAAGTTCTTTTAAAGTTACATCAGATTAAATGCGTTTTTAGCAGTCACTGGATCACTTACGATTTGTCTCAAATACGTAACAGGTATGAATGTGCTTAGTATATTTTGCAGAAGTTTTAGGAAATTGAACTAGCTCAGTTTTTTGAGGGGTTGGGGGGAAACCGATGTTTGAACTCAGGCCTTTGCACTTGCCAGGCAAGTGCTTATTCTACTGAGTTATCTCCCTGGGCCCTGTAGCTCAGATTTTAATGTAAGTTGGAGAGTGGTTTTTGCAGGGTACAGTCTACCACATTATTCTTCCATTTGGTTTAGTGGGTCAGATTGTCTAGACTGGATTGGAAAAAGTCATTCTTGCTTTTGGTGCTGGAGGTGGAAGCCAGGGCTTGCACAGGCTAAGCTCATAGTCTTGCTGAGCTGCACCCCAGCCCTAAGGGTACTGTGTGCCCCTGTTCTGCCTCCCAGCAGTTTCCCAGGTAGCTTTTGACTACTTGATGTTTTGTGCAGAATCAAGGCCCTATGCAAGATGGAATTCCATAAGCAGCAGTTGTTTAGATTTGAGCCACTGGACCGTGCAGTTGTGTATTATATGTAGACTTTTTGTTACTGCAATTTGGGTTTTGATATTTGAATCTAGATGTTTCATAGTTGACCAGAAAATTGGAAGTGTATCCATTTTCAGGAAAACTAATTATCAATTTAGTGTTTTGGTCTGATCTTATTAAATAGTTTGTATAATCCCAGCACTTGGAAGGCTGAGGTAGGAGGGTTGCCATGAGTTGAGGCTAGTCTGGAGTACAAATCAAGACTCTTATCTCAGAAAACCAAAACAAACGGTATTCTTTTTTATTAGGATATATTAAAGCAAATGTTTTAAATATATTAGATGTTAACTCAGGTTATTAAGGCTAAAAACAAGAAAGTTTTTTTCTTGAAAATCCTATGAAACTTTCCCAGCTTGGCCTTCCTTCTCTGTAGATTTGAGCAAATTGCTTATTTGAAAGATAGCCATAAATAAAGTTGGACTTGAACAGTTGTCTCAGTCCTGAGCAGGTGTGGTGGTCTGTCTGATGAGTGCTTTGTCTTTAGTTGTGTGTCAGAGTTTTTTGATGATTAGTGCTAGGACCACCTAGACAGAGCTCGCACCCCCAGCATGAATCAGTGTTGTGGCCAGGCAGCCTATATGCAGATGGAGACAAATGGGATTGCTGTCATCTCATACTGAGTTTTTGATTTTTGTTGATCTCTTCTCTACTTCATTCCATATATGTGACATGTGATCCAAAGTTGGCTTGGAGATTGACAGTGTGCTTTGGAGTGAGGTTGACTGAGTCATAGTCAAGAATAGATGAGAGGGCTGGAAAGATAGCTCAGCAGTCTAATAAGCGCCTGCCTAGCAAGTGCAAGGTCCCAAGTTCGATCCCTGGTACCACTTGCTGTGCTGGCCTGGAATAGGTATAATGGAGCACACTTGTAATCCCAGTGCTGGGGAGGCTGAGACAGGAGGATCACTATGTGTCCGAACTGCATAGCAAGACCCATACCAAATAAAGAAAAGAAAAGATGAGAGTCTAACATGGAGCTTGTTGAGGTAACCCACAAGGCTGATGCAGGAAGATCTCCATGTGTTCAAAGCCAGCCGTGGGGCACAAGGGTAGGGGGAATGGATCCTAAGGTGGAAATTCAAGAACAAGTTTCATCTTTTTAAGGAAGGCCATATTAAAGTACAAGGTTTAAGTTCTTTGACTGGAAACTAAATCTTAACCGTATAATTAATGTTCCTAGTGATGTTACCTCTGAGGCATTTTAGGTATCACCAGACTGATACCTTTCAAAACCAGAACAGGAAAAAGCAGTCTTCAGGATAAGGAATAATGGTGTAGAATTTGCATATTGCCCTCTTTTATTTGGGAGGAATGAGGACAAATGGTGCTTTAGAGACAAGTGCTTATTATGTTTTAAGCATCTCTAGTACTTGGTGCCTTGCTGTAAAGCTAAGGCCTACTGTCCCTTGTTCATACCATTCTGCCCTAAAGCTCTTCAATAAAATTCTTTGCTTTTTTTGGTGTGATCTATACTAATTTGAGAGGAACAACTTGACCTGAATTAGTGTTGACTGAAACTTTGTCTGATTGCATTTAATGTTAGTATTTCCAGGTGTTATTTGGAAGTAGAGTGGTGGTGAAGTGCTGACTCATTCCTTGGCGAGTATCAAATAATGTGTACATATAAGCGTGCTGCTGCACTGCTCCACGCGCATGCACCTACGCTGCAGCCCTGCACCCTGACGAGCCAGGCCTGCCGAGAGATGCCTTAGGTTCCCCTAGAATTAATGGAAATGTAAGCGGAAGCCCCACCCCGTAGAGATGTAGTGTCTAGACACAACAGTTTGCGCTGGTGGATGTTGGGACGCTGAGGTTTTCTGAGGTGCCCCACCACTGTTTGGTGTCCTTGGCAGAGTCTAAAGCAGTGCTCTGTGGCTGTGGCCTGCCTGGCATAGCTGTAGCTGAGAGCTCTGTGGAGCACACCGTATAGCTAGGTGTTCAAGACAGTGCAGGTGGGCTGAACCCCACAGTGGGCTTCGTGGTAAGCTTGAACTCAAGTAACTGTCCTGGATTCTGAGATGGCTTGTCCATTAAGTACCTGTAAATGCTGGAAATAGCTTCTCTATAGTTTTGGAGACTTTTGTGTGGTTTGTTTTTTGAGCAAGGTCTCAGCATACCAGGATAGTCTCCGACTCATAGCAGTCCTGCTGCCTCAGCCTCCCCAGTGCTGGAGTTACAGGCGTGTACCACCACATCTGCCTTCAAAGCCAGGTTTTGTTGTTTGTTTGTTTTTCTGTGGTACCAGGAATTGAACCCGGGACCTTGTGCTTGCCAGACAGGCATTTATGTCAATGAGCTGTATCTTTGGCCCCAAAACTAGTTTTTAAAATACATGTATGATACAATCAATATGTGAATGTTGTGACAATACCTTTTTTCTGGGGATTGAACATGACCTTAGTATACGCTGTCTGAACTACACCTTCGTTCCCTAACACTGAATGAATCTTTTTTTTTTTTTAAGAAGGAAAAGTTATTTTTTACTGTTAGGTACAGGGTTTCACTGTACAGCTTAAACTCAGTGATCTTCTTGTCTCAGCCTCCCCAGTGCTGGGATTGCAGTATGTGCCACCATGCTGGTTTTGGGAGCCAGCACAGCATGCCCAGAGTTCCCGGGCCCACATGGCATATGGTACCAAGGATCAAATTTGGGTCCTTGTGCTTGCCAGGCAGGTGCTTAGACCACTGAGTTATCTCCCCAGCCCATGTCTTGACATATTTTAGCAGCAATATTTGAGATGAATGCGGTGGGCCCCTGATTGTAGAAGTGTTTTTGAAGGCCCTTTTAAAAGTTTCCTAGGACTTTATGCTGCAGCAAGATTTTTCCAGTGGGCCAGTTTTTGATATAATTCAACTCTGACAGCAAGTCTAATTAATACATTAGCCTAATTGAACGTATTTAAACTTTCAGTTTAGACAAACTTTTATTAGCCAATCTGCTATTTGCCTTTACCAGTGGGTCTGGTTATGAATTCATTTAATTCACTATAAACATACCCCTTAATAGTTGTTGAGTATAGAAAAGGGATTCAGGGGCCAGAGAGATAGTTCAGTGGTCTAAAGCACCTCTTAGGCAAGTTTTGGCAATCATATGGACCACGGTTCAGTCGCTGGCTGCGCTAGCCCTGCCCCTAGGGCAGGGTGAGCCAGCCACAAAAGGGATTCAGTGAATTATTTAAATATACTCCCTAATTTTACTTCACAAATTTAATATAGTTGTCCTATTAATTCTGAGCTCATATAGGCCTGTAAAGGAGCATTTTACTTTTTAGGGCCTTTATTTTGTCTCTAAGGAATGCTTTTACTTGAATTAGGACATCAGCATTTTGAATATTCATGTCTTCTAATTGTTCTTATTTGCATATGTCTAATGAGATCTGCCCTTGGTTTTCATCCATCACTGCCAGCTGCACAGTGTCAGTAGAGCAAAGTGGCACACACCTGTAACCCCAGCTCTTGGGAGGCTGTGGCAGGAAGATCACTGTCAGCTTGAGGGCAGCCTGGGCTACATAAGTGAGTTCAAGGCCAGCCTGCACTACATAATCAGACCCTGTTTCAAAAAAGTGCTTGAGGACTCTTATATGGACAAAGGAAAAGCTTGGTTTTGCAAGCAAATTCAACAGAACATTTATTAATGGTGCTTGGTTCTCATAAAAGGATGGATAAACTATCACTGAAAAGCACAGATTTTAAGGGGCATATATTTCCCTGATGTGCATTAAATGTTGTCTTTTCAGCTATAAGACAGAGAAATATTCTGTACAGGCATGATGCAAATAAATAAACAGCATGTTAAGAGATGAACAAGATTCACAGGCATGGTTTTTTTTGTTTTGTTTTGGTTTGGTTTGGGCTTTTTTGGCTTGGTAAAGTGTAGAATCTTTTCTAGGAGGACCACAAAGATGGTGAGCATCATAGCTCAGTGACAAAGGGGGCTGCAAGGGCTCGTGTGTTTATTGCACAGGGTGCTTGAGCTGAGAGTTAGTAGTAACTGCCAGCACGGGCCTCAGCCCTGTCTGCACCAAGCCCTCTCACATTTCCTACTCTGCTCACCCACCAGCCACCCCCAAATTTGGGGCGTGTGTCTGGCAAGGCTTACAGAAATTTGTAGCAGGCTGCAGCTGGCCAGACTGGAGGGGCATTCAGGGAAAGGCTCAGGAGACACAGGTGTCTGTCCTTCAGCTCTGTCCTGGGGTCACCATGCAGTGGGTCAGGCACCAAGTGAATCCTCTTCACTAGCACATCACCACCACCACCACCCCCGGGCGTGGGTGCCATGTGCTGAGGCATAAGG